GTGACATTCAATAAAAAAACACTCATCAAATTACTTACATGGTATCATTGATGCACAACTTAAACATATACACTTTGACCATGAAAGTTAAGTTCAGTGCACATGCTGGAGAAACCCAATTGGTACCTAGCGTGGTAGGCTCATCAGGAACAGAAAGGGACTGACGTAATGGAGTAACAACTGATCTGATTGGTTGTTCCTTCCCAACATATTGTATCCTCTTTTGGAAGGCCAAACAAATGGAGCTTTTCCACTGCATGGTAGTCTGCACCGCCTCTACTGCCATGACATCATCGTAAATGCGCCACATTTCAAACGCACAACACAGGAACAATGGAGCCTATCGAGGGGGTGGTGTTCTTGATGTTTGAGTCAAGAAAGTAGTTTAAAAACAGGTGATACAGTGGTGGCTGTTACTGGCTATTTAAATCTAACGGGTTTGGTGTCTCGTGTCACAAATACTATGACACTGGTAGTGACGATTCTGTCTGACCAATCAGTGATCTGCAGTATTTTCCCGCCACATTTAAGTATCGGTACGGTACGCTTGGAACCTCAACAGAGGTGGTACCATTTAAAGCGAGCCGAAGCGAGCCGAAGCGAGCCGTCCCGTACCGTAGCATGCAGTGGAAAAGCGCCACAAAGTGAGCCGTACCGAGCCGTGCCGTACCGTACCATGCAGTGGAAAAGCGCCAAAGCGTGCTGTACCGAACCGTGCCGTACCGTACCATCCAGTGGTACGGTACGTTCTGCACCGTACCCTGCAGAACGACATCTCGATGCCGAACTGTCATCTGCTCGGACTGAGCTAAAATCAACCAATCGTCGATATATTTCAACACGCGGATGCGAGTCTCAGGGGAGCCAGAGCTGCATCCACGCATTTTGTGAAGATGCGGGTGATAAACCTTGGCTGAACGGAAGAACCCGATACTGGTACGCTTCGCCCCCGAAAGCGAACCTCAGGAACTTGTGAACCTGTGATGAGGATGGATAGATACATGGAAGTAAGCGTCATTCAAGTCTATTGTGACAAACCAGTCCTCGGACTGAATCTGGGACACGATCTGTTTGAGTGTAAGCATCTTGAACTTAAGTTTCTGAACCCTGTGGTTTAGTTGGCGCAGATATAGAATAGGATGCAACCCATCCTTTTTTGGAAATATGAAATAACGTCTGTAAAACCTGTAGAAAGGGTTCGAGCAGGGAACAACCGAACTGACTGCTTTATGACCCTCTTCGGAGGATAATTTGGGGACGCTGACACCTCGGTGCCCTGAAATGGCGAACTGGCAGGGAACAACCGAACTGGCAGCGCTGCGACCCTCCTCAGAGAGTCGCCCCCCAGAAGGCGCCCAGGAGACACGGATTCTTGAACCCTCAGAAGCCTGATAGTCGGTGCCCTGAAATGGCGAACTGGCAGGGAACAACCGAACTGGCAGCGCTGCGACCCTCCTCAGAGAGTCGCCCCCCAGAAGGCGCCCAGGAGACACGGATTCTTGAACCCTCAGAAGCCTGATAGCAGAGCTGGCCCGAGCCTTTTGGGGGCCCTAAGCAGAATTTGATTTGGGACTACGCGGAGTCACATGTGCTTGACGATTATTGACACAAATATCATGCAATAATGATACATTATAAATTAATACAATGAGGTAATGTATAAATTAGGGCTGTCAGTTAAACGCGTTATTAACGGCATTAACGCAAACCCATTTTAACGGCGTTCATTTTTTTATCGCACGATTAGCGGTCTTTTTGGCCTGGCAAACTTTGTAGTTTTTTTTTCACATGCTTTTGCAACAGGACGGCATGCGGGCGTTTTGAAAACGCAAGCGGATATACAAAACAACAGGCACGCTGCACACACTTGTTTGGGCTTGCGAGCAGGATGCGCGAGCGCGAATCTCTCTGCTCGCACGCGGAATATAATGTGCCGAGCACGAATCTCTCTGCTCGAGTCGCGCGCTCTCAGATACACGCGGCTCTTGTAAGAATTTTCTCTGGGCTCGCTCAGAGAATATGCCTGCACTTAAAACGTGTTCAGTGCGATCGCGAATCTCTCCTCTTCCCCAGCTAACAATTTTAGGTTATAAGAACGTTTTCATAACGTTCCCATTAAGTTATAAAAACGTTATTTCTGAATGTTATAGGAACGTTCAAAACGTCCAGTTTTGAGTGGATGACGAGCGCAAGACGCCGAAATGGATGCCAATAAGATTCTGAATGGAAAGTTTACTTTTAAAAAGTTGCCAAATGGTTCCATTGACAAGACCAAAGTGATCTGTGTGTTTTGTCGTTGTGAACTGATCATCATCGCAGCACGTCCAGTCTGAATACCACTTGATGATGGCCAGCACACACACACACACACACACAGCTGATGCGAATTCTCCGCCCCCTCGTCAATATCAGGACTTTGTCAGTATTTATTTCACCCTTTTATTGATGGACAGTGTTACATTGTGTGAGAGAGATTATCTGCTCCAAGTGATAATGTTTTAGTGTGAAATTGAACAGTATATGCCAATATTGTTTTCAATAAAAAACATTTGCACAAAGCAAGCCGATCCACTTTTCCATGTTGATAAGAGCATTAAAATGAGAAAAAATGATGGGACAAAAAGAAATCAAGAGACATTTAGAATAGATAAAAATGTGCGATTAAATGCGATTAATCGCGAGTTAACTATGACATTAATGCGATTAATCGCGATTAAATATTTTAATCGTTTGACAGCACTAGTATAAATACAAAATAAATACTTAATAAAAATAGAAAGCCTACTTAAATATTTTTTTAACTTTTACTTTACTCTTTTACTAACTCTTTGAAACTTCTTAAAACAAACGGTCTCAAAACATATCAAATAAATTATTTGCTAAAAAAATGACAACTGAGAAATTAAAAACATAATAAGAGCAAGGGTTCAACAATGACAATTATTGTTGAAAACTGTAAAAATATTATTATTTCTCAACTGTCTCAATACAGTGTAACTGTCAACAAAATCTTTTTATTATTATTATTATTATTGTAACAGACTTTGTTGGATCGTACATGACAGAATCCAACAAAGTCTGTTACTATAACACCGGTAATGATGTACTGGCGCTCGTTGTATCTGTGTGTGTATGCAATGTATTTTTCCCCTCTGGGCTTGCCGTAGATAGGAATGGTTCAATGCTGCACAAAACATACCGTAAATAATCATGCAAACATACTTTTATCTTGCTCTTTTTTTCTCCTCCTCTGTCATTTTCTTCGTTCTATTTTCGGCACCAGAGGGAAACTTTTTTTGTGACATGGCTTAACATTACCGCGAGTCCGCGACTATGCGCAGTTGCGTACGAATTGTCTATGCTCGCGCGAGGTGTCTAGATTATGCGCATGACATGATTATGCGCATGATAACGCTGGCAGACACAGCAGCAGTTGTAGGGAGGTATATTGATCATGAAATCTGAATTTTCTTGTCTTTAATTATTCATTCATTCATTCATATTAATTCATTCATTTATGTCACTTGTTTAAGTCATCTAAAAAAATATTTTTCGATTTTTCGACTCGATTGGGGGGCCCCAAGCAGCCGCTTAGTTCGCTTATGCCTCGGGCCGGCCCTGCCTGATAGCCTCAGCGTCAGGACTTTTTCTTAGTTGAAACCTTTTTAGAGATAATGACAGTCCTCTGATCTTGTCTACCTCTTACAGGCTTCGACTGCGACCGCCACCCAGGCCCCCCTGATTGTGGAGGAGCCCGAGTGGCGACGCTTTGTATTTGCTGCACTCTGTGCTGCGATGAGCTTGTAGACGGTCGAGACTGCTCCCGCCCAGTAGTCTCAGGGACATTAGATCGGCGAGGAAGAAACTTCTGGAACGCCGCTGATTGCTTTTTCAACTCCTGAAATCTATTGTCGACAGTGTTTATAGCCTCGCCGAATAAACTCGAAGGCGAAAATGGAAAGTCCAGAAGAACAGATCTGTCTCTATCTTAATATCAGATAAATTCAACCATAAGTGTCAATAATAATTTTAATTTGGCAACAGTGCAAGTCACAACCTCCATAAGCTCCTCATCAACAAGGGTATGAGATGGCGAAACTGTCATAATCCCCTGCATCAATACTGACGACATCCAATTCCTCAGAACTGGATAATCACAGCATTGGTGCGTCATCCCGGGGAGAAGAAACCACAGCGTGTGCTTCTCCCTGAGATAAGGCACTGGATCCGAAAGGTGAAGGCTGAGATAGGGGGCTGGGCCCGTCTCAAACCCTGCTGTCAGATCCATTTATGAACCCCAAGATGTGCGTCGCCGCTGTGCCTCAGGAACAGTGGGACCCGCACCATGGGGAACGCACACCGAACCGTCCTCCTCAAAGAACGCCTGGCGGGAGCGGAGCGTCCTCACGGAGAGCTTCTCGCAATGCTCACAGTCAGCTCCCTCGAGAATTAACTGGCCATACTCCACTGCCAAATAAGCAACACAAAGCTGATGTGTGTCCCCACCCATGATAAAACGAGGGCAGGGAACAACACAACGCTTGAATTCTTGTTTGTTCGCCATATTATATATATATATATATATATATATATATATATACATCTTTCTGTGAAATATTGTGCTTTTAATGACAGACAACAATAAATAGACAGGGACAGCATACAGAGAGCACTTGCTAAAGGCAAAGAAGCTAACACGGTCTGTTTTCAGGTGCGCTTTATAGTTTCCTGGTCGATGACGTCACCCGCCTATGACATCTCGTCTTTCCATTGGACTGTAAAGAGCATTGAAAGTTATCGTTACATTTTTTTCAGTTGAATGCAGAAGTTGATAAGTAACCAGGGAAACTGGTTTTGGTGTAATGCCCTGCTGAGTTTTAACAATAATAAAGTCAATCAAGAGCTTTAGATGTTAAGATCCAAGTTCAGCCCACTGTAAGACACATCATCTACAACAGACGTTACAAAATGAGGAATAACAAGCCTTTTTTTTTTTACAGGCTTTCTTACAACCAGCCCAGTGCAGTCGGGTAAGAACATAAACAGGTCTTTTTTTATACATATATTTTTCTTTTATACTACTATGCACTTGGATTTGGATTTCATGCATATTTATGTGAATATCCTCATTTAAAACAGCCCAGATGGCAAAATTGTTCCCTTGTCACCATGGTTGGCCCCAGTTGTACAGGAAGGAACTTTTGATCCCATATTGATTGATTCAATCTACAAACAACAAAACATCACCATAGCAACTACAGTCTTCGCTCTTGGAAAGTGAGTATATACCTCTCCTATCTCTGATCTTCATTGACTTTAAATTTAAATAATATTAAATAAACCAGAATGCCCTTTCAGTAATGCTGATGGTTACATTAAAGGGGTCATAGAATGAGAATTCAAATGTTCCTTGATCCTTTGACAGTTAAGAGTTTGTTATATTATAAAAAATATCCTGTAAGTTTCAAAACTCAAAACTTTTTTGTTATTCCAAAAACTGCAGCAGCCTAAGCATTTCCTTAGCAGCCTAAGCATACCTTGACCAATAGAATTGTGCATAAAACAATTCATAAAGACATTTTTTTTTTTATTATTTTATTATTTATAAAAATGAGTGGATAACCTTAACTTTCTAGATCTAAAAGCTTAGGTAACTCAGGGTGAATGTACAGTATATTTGAGTTCATTGTACAGTCTTTTTTAATAAACTGCCAAAAGGGGAAAATAATTTTGCTAGTTTATTATTTTACAATTGTGTTTCTCTCCCTCTCTGTTTTTCAGGTATACACAGTTTCTTAAAGATTTCCTGGAGTCTGCAGAGCAGAATTACTTTGTTGGATTTCGTGTGCATTATTATGTGTTCACTGATCAACCAGAACAGGTTCCTGCAGTGAAACTGAGTGAAGAACATCATCTGACAGTGTTGACAGTCCCTAGTTCTAACAGATGGCAGGAGATCAGTTTGAGCAGGATGGCAAGACTGGAGAAACTGATTGTGAGTCGACTTTTCAATGAAGCCGACTATATTTTCAGCCTTGATGTGGATTCAAAGTTTTATGGTCGCTGGGGGGTGGAGACTTTGAGTCCTCTGGTAGGTGTCATACATGCATGGTTTTATGGTAAGCCTCGTGAACAATTCACATATGAACGCCGACCAGAGTCTCAAGCTTTCATTCCTTTTGCTGAGGGTGATTATTATTATGGCGGGGCTGTGATCGGTGGCTTAGTGAAAAACGTATATCAGCTTGTTAAAACCTGCCGGGAGCAGCTGGACATTGATGCATCTAAATCCATTGAGGCAGTATGGCAGGAGGAGTCTCATTTGAACAAGTACTTCCTTTATAACAAACCCAGTAAACTGCTTTCACCCGAGTATCTATGGGATGACACAAAATCTAAACCAGAGGAGATCAAAATCATTCGCTTCTCTCAAGTTATCAAAAACTATAATGAAATTCGTCCAAACCCTTAGCAGCTGTTAACTGAAACATGCAAAAAATAAAACATGCCAAATATTTTTCCATCAGTTGCACAACATTTGTGCTGCCTGATGGATGATATATATATTATCAGACTTATATTTTTGCTTCACTAAAGTGCAAAGAGCAGCTTCCCATGCAGCTAACAAAAATATGTTCTTAGAATGTTTTGCTAACATTCCAATTAGGTTATGTAGGTTAAGAACGTTTTTTTCTTGGTTAAAGGTGCTCTAAGCGATGTCACGCGTTTTTTAGGCCAAAACATTTTTTGTCACATACAGCAAACATCTCCTCACTATCCACTGGCTGCCTGTCCCCTGAACACACTGTAAAGAAACGCGATCTCTGTAGACAGCCCAGGCTCCACAAACAGCAACAAAAGCAAACTGCGGCGACCCGCTCCCCGAAACATAACAAACTGTTCCAGCCAATGACCGACAAGAAGGGTTTGGGGGCGGGGTTTGGGGGGTTAGTGTGCGGATGAGGAGGAGGGAGGGTCTAGCTAGCCTCCGTTTTGTTTGACAATAGTTCGAACGTCAACAAGAAGTGATGTCACCCAGGATCGCTTAGAGAACCTTTAATGTGAACGTTAAAGGAACATTCTTTTCAATCATTTTGAAAATGTAATGAAAACGTTATTTCTGTAAGTTTTTTTTTTTTTTTACGTATTAAGAACACTGGACGTTTTCAACGTTTTAAAAATAATCAGAAATAATGTTTTCATAACTTAATGGGAATGTCAGAAAAACATTCTAAGAACATATTTTTGTTATCTTTGAATGTTGTTCTAAGAACGTTTTCTCTTAATATTATGAGAATATCAGTCAAGTACAAATAACATCACAAAGACGTTCCAAGAACGTTACGAGAATGTATTTTAAGTATGAAAACATTATAATACTTTTCAAAGCCATTATTTTAGGAACGTTTTTTACTAACATTTACATAACTTTTACATAACATTAGTGATTCCTGGTTACTAATCTCAAATGCTGGTTAAAACGCAAACAGCATTTGCATTGGTAAAGGGGAAGGGACTTTCCATCTAAAAAAAAAAAACTGATGAAAGATTTGTGTGGTTTTCTATTTATATATGTAAAAAAAAAGCTAAAACCTTATCTAACATTGGAAGTGATGTAATTCTTATTCCCAAAATAAAAATATTTGTACTTTGCAGGAGATTTTTTTCACATTTATTTTAATTTTTTATCTCTATGGGTTTGGGTTTCATCATACGTCAGTTTGGTCATATGTGTTCTGTCTCTGATGTATGTGGAAGGAATGTCACTGTGATCCATTAAAGAGTATAAAGTTCACTCAAAAATTAAAATTCTGTCATTATTTTCTTCACTCTTATGTTGTTCCAAACCAAAGTCCCTGTGAAGCAGTGACCGTGAGAGGAAAGTATCTTAATTTTCTGTTTTTGCTGAGGAAAACGTCTCAGTTACGTATGGTAACCCTCATTCCCCGAGGAGGGAACGGAGACAAGTCTAGATTGACGAATGGGGATTGCTTGCGAGAGCCTATCTACTTCGAGTGAAACTAAACGAGCCAGTGCACATTGGCATGCGATAATTGCACCATGCCTCGCATCCTTGTTTTTCCGCTGTGGAGCCAGACTTGTGACTCGGCCATACAGCGGAAGCTCAGCAACTGTGGTGAGGGGACTTACAACTCTGTTCCCTCCTCGGGGAACGAGGGTTACCATACGTAACCGAGACGTTCCTGTCAAAGATGCGGTCTAGAGTTCTTTGAATCAACACATGGAGGACGTTAAATGCCAGTTTCACTTGATTTTCAATTCTCCCAAGCCAGGAAAGTGCCAGGTGCTCACAGGTGCCAAAACATCAATTTTTAAAAAAAAAAAATTAAGAAAAGAAAAAAACTTCAATATACAAAACAATAACCTTGGAGCAGGTATTACAATTAATTTAGAGTAATCAGCAGATACTGCACTCACTACCACCAGTCACAAAAGAAAACCTTTTCTCTCTTGACCACTTCCTTATGTGAGCATTTATACCCATGGGTACACTCTAAACAATGCTGGGTTGTTTTAACCCAAACTTGGGTCAAATATGGACAAACCCAAATGTTGGGTTAAAAATGTAATTAAAAATTTTAACCCAACTTAAGCTTCCACTTTCAACTGTAAATTTTTTTATTGTATTTTTAACCCAACATTTGGGTTTGTCCATATTTGACCCAAATTTGGGTTGAAACAACCCAGCATTTTTTAGAGTGTAGCCTACTACCATTTCTCAGCAATCATAACATGGGAAATATCAAAAACCATGAACATGTGTTAAAGGTCCAATAACCCAATTTCCTTCAACACACACATTTATATACACAGCACACACTTCAGTTCAACACTAATTATAAAAAGTATCATTATAATTATACCAATCAACCATTATACACATGGGCGTCTGTTTGGTTTGAAATGTGCTGGGGACAGAGACACATTCGGAAGGGCATTTTCAAAAGTGCTGGGTACAATGACGCATTCATTCTTTTTTCTCTTTCGCGCAGGTCATGTTTTGAAAGACGATGTCCTGTGTAGCTTACTGATGTAAATAAATAAAAATGTATACAAAGATGTGATGATGTCCGACCAAAAATGTGATGGTACTTTGGGTTTAATTGGTCGTACAATGAGATCTAATATATGTTGTTAGTTTTTACGTGAATAAATACATAGATCCACCTGTGTTGCGTATGTACTGTAATGGTCCAGTGGCAGAATTTTAGCCAAGCGTGTCGGAGGTTCTGAGTTCTAATCCGCACTGGTATAGTTTTTTTCCCTCATCAAAACCGATAATGTTTATCAGTGGTTGTAGAATCTTGATATACTTTATCACTGATAAACATTAGCGGTTTTGATGAGGGAAAAAAAAACTATACGAGTGCGGATTAGAACCCAGAGAAGCAGGGACACGTTTGTGCGCATTTTGATTTGTGATTTCACCGGAACGAATAGAATCTCCGCAACGGACTGAAGCGCGCGTCCGAGTGAAGACAACACATTTCAGCGCTAGATCGCCTCTTATTTAACAAATGAATAATACGAATGTTCTGCTAGTTAACTGGAGATGTTTTATTTGTATTGGTACATCCGTGCCGCGAGATGTTTCAAAAGTGGTGGGGACAATATCGACCCTGGCAAAAAGTAGTGGGGACATGTCCCACCCGTCCCCCCCCCTGACGCCTATGATTATGCACAAATACCTTCATCAAACAATTTCACCCCTTACCCCCCATACTTGGTATCTCCCACTCCCATGAGGCAACACAGCACAGGTACAAAAAGCCTGACAAATGTCCATTCCGGTCTTTTACTCAAATCAAGATGGCCGCCACCATGTATGCTGATCCAGGTGATAGTCAACAGTTTGTAACAAGTTTAAATGTCCACGAGGTTAGTGCTTAGGTGGCCAGTCTGAGGCACAACAGTCTAGTTGTAGGTGTATGTTTGGGTGAATGTGTGTGGAAGCCATCTCTCCCTTTGCAGGTACCTCAAGGTAAATAAAGATTTTAAAAACCCAAGTATGTGTTCTGGTGATTCTAGACAGGGCTAACAAGGGGAACACAGGGAACAGGGAACAGGGGTCAGCTCTGTGACAGTTCCCCTTTGTCAGTCACTATGAGTAAGTCTAGAGCTGATCACGGAGGAATACACAAATGGGGTCGCCGCAGCGACCACTACATATAGACACCCAGCTTAAAGGGATAGTTCACCCAAAAATGAAAATTCTGTCAGTAATTACTCGCCCTCATGTTGTTCCAACCCCGTAAGACTTTCGTTCATCTTCGGAACACAAATTAAGATATTTTTGATTAAATCTGAGAGCTGGATCACTCCTCCATAGGCTTCTTAAGGGATCGAAACTGACCGGCCCAAAAGTAATGAAAGACATCGTAAAAATGGTCCAAGTGACTACAGTGGCTCAACCTTAAGTTTATCAAGCGACGAGAATACTTTTTGTGCGCAAAAAAACAAACAAAAATAACGACTTTATTCAACTAATCATTTCCTTCTCTGTGGGCCGTGATATTTCACGTAGTGATATTGCGCAAAGCTTCTAGGTTGCACGTCACACGTAGGCTCACTATTGGCCGACGCTGGTCATGTGTGTGATGCGTGACGTACAACCTAGAAGCTTTGCGTAGTTTCACTACGTGAAATATCACGGCCCACAGAGAAGGAAATGATCTTGTTCCATATCCTTTTCTGTAGTTGACAGAATGAAAAGGGGTTCCATCTGAGGGGCCAGTTGCTAACACAGCCACTATATTAAGACTGTGTCTTAAAGTCATGATGAAATGGAAGTAGGAATGGAAATGGATGGTTGTGATGAAATGGAAGCACATTTCTATTTCTGTCAGGTCCATTAAGTCAAGAACACACAGACAAAAAATATAATTTAAGAATTTTATTGAATAGATTGCAAACAAGTTGATGTTCCTGAATTAAAATTTGGCGGTATGGCTCTGTTCAGGGAGTCCTCTGACCTTTCATGAGCACCATGAAATAGCAGAGAGTCAGAGGACAGCAGCAGCAGCATTAGGGAACGCTCACACGGTTTAAGACTGTGAGAGCTAAAATATCCCCCGTGAACAGAGCAGGCAACATGACATAGCAAATGCCACGTTATGCATAAGGAGGAGCTGGGGAGGTGGCGGGCAGCAGAAGCGAGCAGCGAGCCAGCAGAGCGAGCAGCAACCAGCAGAGCGAGCAGCAAACCAGCAGAGCAAGCAGCAAACCAGCAAAGCGAGCAGCAAGCATGTATGAGCAAGGTGAATGAGCTTTAAATAGGCACCTTGTTTGAGCTTTGGCCATTGAGCAACGAGGGGAGTTAATCAGCTAATGCAGCTCAGCTGGAGCTGATCAGCTGACGGGACAGTGTTGATAGCAAAGCATTAGCAGCGTCTTGACTACCTGGCCTGCCAGAACTGACGCTGACGCTCAATTTCTGTCAGGTCCATTAAGTCAAGAACACACAGACAAAAAATATAATTTAAGAATTTTATTGAATAGATTGCAAACAAGTTGATGTTCCTGAATTAAAATTTGGCGGTATGGCTCTGTTCAGGGAGTCCTCTGACCTTTCATGAGCACCATGAAATAGCAGAGAGTCAGAGGACAGCAGCAGCAGCATTAGGGAACGCTCACACGGTTTAAGACTGTGAGAGCTAAAATATCCCCCCAAACAA